TATATATATACATATATATATATCTTGCTAACCTACTACTTGCATTGTACCCATTTTTGCTTTCACAATGTTTTAATGAGAGGGGCTCCTTTGTCATTCAACTAAAAAACTAAACACCACATTCTCCTCCCCTCATCCTCATCCTCATCCTCATCCTCATCCCCATTCTCCATCAGATCCCTTTTTTAATCTCTTTCTTTCTTTTATTCTTCCCGTCCTCTCCACAAATTCAGCTAAATTCAAGCTTTACTGAACAAATTCAACTAATAAATAGCATTATGGGATTTCGGGATTTTTCAATTTAATTTAAGTGCCTTGAAGATTTATATTGGGTTACAGAACCCATATCCATTTGTGCAACAACAGATCTTTATTCAATGTCATGAGAACCGGACAATATTCATTTTTTGGTTCTATTTGTGAGGAAAATATAATCCCAGCTTTCTTACTCTTCTATTCTTGAAAACACCATCCTAATAAGATTCAGCGCAACAATAAATATAGAAATAGAAAGGGAATTTGAACTAAATCTAAAGAGCGACCGTAGTTTGAGAAGGCGAGACACGAAGGAAGAACTACGTGAGGAGTCAGCTCCCTATGACTAGAATCTCCGAGTGAATCTATCTCCATTGGATGCCATCGTCAGATAAAAAGTTTTGAAAGAGAAAAATGAAAGAACGAGAGAAGTGTTGGGTCTACTTTTTCTGTATAAAGACAAAAAAGCCCATTTATTAATATGTTATACTTAGTGTTGTCAAAGGCGCGCTTAAGCCCTAAAGCGAGGCTCAAAACATGTTGAGCGCTTCGCCTCGCTTTGCGGGCGCTTCAGTGTCGCATCAAGGCTCTAAGGCATACTTTCCTTGCCCATGAGTGTAATCCTGAAAATGCGACACTGAACAATTGATATTTCACTTTATCGTTATTTTTTCTTCAACTTTTTTTGTCCATATATTTGTTATTCATGCTTATAATTATTGATCTTAGACTACATATACATATTTTTACTTTTTCCTCCAGTTGCGCCTTTTTTCATTGAAGTTTGCGCTTAAAGCCCCAACGGGCCTTAGAGCTTTTTGCGCTTTTCACCCTTTGATAATACTGAGCTATACTATTATGCTGCTAGGGGTATTTTAGAGAAAGTAAAAATGGGTACTCAATGATAACGGGTCTCTCCCTCTTCCCTTCTCCACTTAAATACCAAGTTTAGTTCGCAAACTGCAGGGCTCAAACCTGTGACCTAAGTCATAACTCATAACTCTCTCAACCTTTGCCACTGTTGGTATTTATTTAGAAGGTGATTCAAGAGTTAAAATGCCTTTTGGACAAGATACTATTTTATGGAAGGGTCTTACCCATTCTTTAAAGGATACACATATTCTTTGTGAAAGGTGTCGTCCAATCTTTAAGGGTACATCCGTTCTTGAAAAAGGTATGTTAGTTACCTTGTTGAATCTCTATGAATACATATCCCACTTTGCATAAATTCTACACAAAAAATCTTCATATTGTCAATCTCTTCAAGAGTCCTTTTTCTTCATTCAATTCTAAATTCCTATAAAAGCAGTTGAGAGATTTAAGAGGTCTCCGGAACTTCTATTTGAATGCACATTAGAAGATTCTTGAGTAATTCGTTGTACCTTGGGAGTATGACGACACTTTGTTAGTTGCGCACCTGGGTAGCGACAGAAATCTACTCTCAAGTACAACATTTTCCATAGCGTGCCTCGACTCGATTTTCCCATCCAAAACTCTATCTTTTCATTTATTGTTAACTATTGTCGTTTATTTGTTGATAAAATGTTCTTCTTAGTATTACCATCTCTAAAATATTCCCAAACTCTTTTAATATTGGAAAATAAGCATGACCAACATCGGCTCAAGAATAACTCAGAAAACGAGAGCAACGACAGCACATTTCAATATTTAGGTACAAGCAGTAAATTATACCTGAAAATTGGCCATTTCATTCTCAACAAGATTCTGAGCCTGAAGAACGGGAACACTGCAATACTCCACACAGTTGTCTATCTCCTCTCGTTTTCTCCTCCTGTCAAAGCACTCATACGCACATTTGAAGTATGCTTGCTGACAAAAAACAAAAGACCCCAAAATTACTAATAAACCAAGTTGCATATGCATATGATAAAATTAAAAAAAATAAAAAGAAAGAGAGAGAGCATGTAAAACCTGAAGGTTAAAATGGACATAATCTTGGACGCCGGAGAGTTGGGTCTGGGCGGCTGTATTCACTTCGTTGAGCTTCTGCCTTAATCTTTCTGCCATAATTGTCTCTTCTGCTGCTGCTATTGCATCCATCTTTTTTTATCTGAAGATGATTAGTAAACCCCAATTTTCTCTGTTTTCTCTATATGTGGAGTTTTTCGCAATTATATGTAAATGTTTGGGGTTTAGGGTTTTAGACAATTGTTGAGATTTCTTGCTCCTTGGGGCTTGGATTGCTTGGGTAAAGGGATATAAACTTTGAGAAAATAATACTACCCCTCTCAATAGGGTATTTAAGAAACACAGAAAAGCTAATATTTTTGACCAGTATATTACTATATTTAACAAAATAAGGTAAACGAAAAGTATCAATTTTATCTCATGTTATAATTTGGGCACAAAAATACCATTGCCGTTACACAAATTATTCAAATATATCCCTTCTCTATTAGGGTTGTCCTAGGTGGACTCCTAATGTACTAGCATTTTGGTGAAGTGGATACCAGCTAGCGTGCCACCTCACTATCCTAACTCATTTCTTCTTCGGAAAAGGGCCAAACATGTCCTTGAACTATTTGAAATAGTTCAAAAATATCTTCTGTTTATTTTTTGTACCAAAAATATCCCTGCCGCGTATATTTTGGACCACAAATACCCTTAAATCGTTAGTCTTACCATTGAAGGTGGCATGACAGTCCAACTTGGTTAGATTTGCTTACATGGCCATCCACCTAAGCAATCCAGCATGGCAAAATTATATTTTCGGAAAACATATTTTCCCGTAAATTTTTATTAAAATATAAAATCAACACTTATTTCGAAAAAAGTAAAAAAAAAATTGAAAAATTATTTATTTCGGAAGTTTTTATTAAAATACAAAATCAATACTTATTCCGAAAAAAATAAAAAAATTCCGGAAAAATTATTTGTTTTGGAAATTTTTATTAAAAATAAAAAATCAACACTTATTCCGAAAAAAGTAAAAAAATTCCCGAAAAATAAATATTTGGGGGATATTTTCCGAAATTTTTTACTTTTTTCGGATTAAGTGTTGATTTTATATTTTCCGAAAAAATAATTTTGTCATGCTGGATTGCTTAGGTGGATGGCTATGTAAGCAAATCTAACCATGTTGGACTGTCATGTCACCTTCAATGGCAAGACTAATGGTTTAAGGGCATTTGTAGTCCAAAATATAGAAGACATGGATATTTTTGGCACCAAAAACAAATGGAGGACAATTTTGAGCTATTTCAAATAGTTCAAGGTCAATTTTGACAATTTTCCGTTTCTTCTTTCACGGGCACTTCCTACCTCTCCATCACTACCATCGCCATCAACAACTATTGTTCCCTTCGCTGCGAACTCGCCATCTATGTCTCCAGCGAAACCATGTTGTAGCATGTAGGTTCTCCTCTTTCTTGTTCAAGCAATTTTAGCGCTAGGAAATGTGCATAGAGCTATAATTCAACCTCATCGAGAAATGCTTAAATTTTCGCTTGGCATAGTTCTTTGAGATTTTTACACTTGATTCGCACTATTAGTAACTGCTATTAGTACACGCGTGATGCGCGGATACAAATCATGTCAAATTATGATGTAAGTTATTTGAATCATGTGCTAATAACCTTCAAAATATAAACCTCTCATATAAAAATTATATAATCATTAGATATTAATTAAGAAGCAAGATATGAAATTATTGTTCAAATCTCGTAGTAGACAATTTATTTATTATTTCATTTATAGCAACCTAACCTCTTGACTTTAGTACTTTATCACGACCCGAAATTTCTACCTTCGAGACCGTGATGGCGCCTAACATTTCACTTGCTAGGCAAGCCAACTTTAGAATAATTTAAACCATTTTTAACAATTTATTTTTAATTAAATAGTAAAGAAACCAACGACCGGAATAATATCTGAATTTAAATGTCAAAACAAAAATAATACAATGTCTAAATGTCATCCCATAACTGGAGTCACAATTGCACGAGTTTCTAGAATAATACAAACAAGGGTCTGAATAAAAATAAAGGTGTCCGAAAGAAAGCACACAACTAAGATAAAGTAGAAGGAGACTTCAGCGCTGCAAACGATGTGCAACTATACCTCAAGTATCCTTTGATAGCTGAATCTGAGCAAATCTACAGTACGCCACTGGGACCAACTCCAGTATCTGCACAAGAAGTGAAGAGTGTAATATGAGAACAACCGACCCCATGTACTCTGTAAGTGTCGAGCCTAACTTCGACGAAGCAGTGACGAGGCTAAGGCAGGTCGCTTACATTAACTTATTAATAATAATAATAATAATAATAATAATAATAATAATAATAATAATAATAATAGAAGTAAGACCAGTAAATCATATCAATCTGCTCAAACAATATAAACTTAGAATAAAATACGTTGTGGCGTGCAACCCGATCCAACAACATAATCTTTCAATTAAACTCTGCTGCGGCGTGCAACCCACTCCAACAATATATACTTAAAATAAATCTGTTGCGGCGTACAACTCGCTCCAACAATTTTCGTTTTTGGAAAGTTTTACAAAAATTCCAATTTCTTCCATCTAAATCCGAAATAAATGATGCATATAGACATGGATTTATTAAATATCATCAATATATGATAAGGAACACTTACCCAGTCCGAAGTCGTGAAAAACTTCTTCAAATTGCCCAAAAACCGAGGTTTTAAAACTCAAAAAAAAAAGGCGAAATGACTGATTTTTTATCCCTTATGTTTCTGTCAATTTTTACTTGTGCGGCGAAATGGCCACATCTGCGGCGTCGCTTATGCGACTGAGAATGCCGCTTCTGCGAAGAAGCGTTGGCCAGCTGAAGTCTCGCATCTGCGGAGGCATTTTCGCTTCTGCGAAATTGCTTATACGATGCCAAATGCGCATATGCGCTGCCTCCGCTTCTGCAAACGCAATGTCCGATTCTACGGACTCGCGGAAGCGTCCAGTTTTAAGCTTTTGCGGCTTCTTGCCTAGCTCCTCTTCTCCCGCTTCTGCGATGAACTTCACGCTTCTGCGGCCAAGGCTTCGCAAAAGCGAATACACCAGAAGCAACAAATTCCAGAATCTACTTAAGTCCAAATTTTGATCTGATTTCGATCTGAATCACACTCAAGGTACTCGGGACCCCGTCCAAATATACCAACAAGTCCCGTAACATAATACGGACTTACTCGGAATCTCAAATCACGTCAAACAACGTTGAAATTATAATTCACACCTCGATTCGAACTTCTGAGTTTCAAACTTTTCAATTTACAAAACTCGTGTCGAAATGTATTAAACGGATCCGGAATGACTTCAAATTTGGCACACAAGTCATAAAATAACATAACGGAACTATTTCAGATTTCGGAATCGAAATCTGAGCCCGATATCAATAAAAACCAATTTGTGGTCAAACTTTGAAAGTCTTTAGCCTTTAGATTTTTAGTTTCCGTTAAATGGCGATAATTCGAGCTAGGGACCTCCGAATTCGATTCCGGGAATACGCCCAAGTTCCAAATCACAATACGGACCTAGTGGAACCATCAAAACACTGATCTGGGTCCGTTTTGCCCAAAATATTGATTGAAATCAACTTAAGTGAGTTTTAGAGCACTATTTCACATAAAAACTTTCCGAAATAATTTACGGACTGTGCACGCAAGCCGAGAAATGCTGAAAGGTGCTATTCGAGGCCTCCGAAAAAAGAAATGAATATTAAATTTAAAGATGACATATTGAGTCATCACATACTTGCATTTCGTTTCACTATCAATATTATACAATATTAAACATGTCATGTTGTGATCTGTCTTGTTTGAGAATATTAGATCATATTTTAACAAAATTCTTATTTTCACTTTGTTTTTAACTGAAAGTCAAATATGTCTTATTAATCACAACATTTTTACGCAATTCTGTTTTCTTTTTGTTCTTTACTTACAGTTTATTGTATTATTTATTATTTGACATTATTATACTATTTTTATTAGCTTAAGAATTAACTTAATGTCTTGCTTATTATGCTTTTAATAGTCTTTAATAAATACACTTTTTTATTCTTAAAATTTAATATATTTTTATGTTTGTATCCTCTTATTCAGAATTTTTTAATCATTTAAATCTATTAGTAATATTGTAAATATAATTTAATTATTTAATTTATTTATTTTAAATTAATTTAAACTGTAAGTATCCGCACATTACCTTTATTCTTTTTATAAATTCTCTTCACTACTATAAATTCAGCCACACCACACTGACCTTGAAGCGATCTTCTTCTAGTTGCGGGACGAAATCCGACAGCCAATTGTTGGCTGTGAATAACCAGCCCCGCAATAAGCTCAATTCCTCCATAACATAAGGGGCGAGCTTGCGCGCTATTTTAATTAGTTTGTTTTTAATAATATTTTACCTACAACCAAAATAATATCACATTTTATTTTAAATTGTAACTTTGAATTAGACTAAAATATTAATAAACAAGTTCTTTGATTATTATGTTCCAAATGTATTGAGTTTTCTTATAATTATTTTTGTATTAGATGCAGTTAAATTTTCTTTCTTTTTTAGTTTTAAGATACAAATTTAATTTTTAATTTTTATTAGTAAAATTACCTACATTAAACATTTATTTAGTTTTTAAATTTTTATCTTAATCATAAAAAATATTTTCTTAATTGTTTGAACACATTATATCTAAATATTGTATTAATATTTTAACAGTCATTTTATTTTTTACGCAATATTTTCAAAAATAATAAATAAAATTTTAAATAAAAAAATCTCTTCTCAAATTCAAATAATTATTATCATTCTATTTTCTAAAGTGAACCATAGTTTCAAAAAATTATGTTATGCTTTCAAACCTAAACTAACTGCACTAAATTCAGATATTAATTTTAAAAAATATTTTCTTAATTATTTGAACACGTTATATCTAAATGTTGTAGACTTGTAGTAGTATTTTCACTGTCATTTTATTTCCTTACGTAAATTTTCTTTCATTTTTAGTTTTAAGATATAAATTTAATTTTTAATTTTAATTAATAGAATTACCAATATTAGAATCTATTTTGTATTTTTAAAATTTTATTTTTTTATCATTTTTCTATTTTTCATAAATAAGCCTTCAATTTCGTGGTATTATCCATAGTTTGAGCATTCTCATCATAATTTTAAGAAATTTGTAATCTCAAATTCAAATAGTCTTTCCCTTTCATTTATAATAGTAAATTGTTAATAATTTTCTTTAACATTGCTATTTTTTTAAAACCTAATATGTAGTCTTATTACATTTTATG